GTTACATTATGGTTCATATGTCTACCTTTAAGAAAATAAAGACAATTTTGGCAATTTCAACGTTGGCCAGGCTGAGAACTTTATACGAAGGTAGAACAATGTTTTTTTCTGAAAATCGCAGTTTTATCAGTTTTACTGCCTCGTAGGTTGTCACATGTGATGGGATGTTTTTGGTGCATTACATTAAATGTTGATAAGCATAAGTTTTATAAGAAGGATGAAAAGATTTTTCTAGCAAGACAAGCTAGAAGCAAATGGAGCCAATCAATGGGATTATAAATAATAAAAAGTAATCGTAATATTTATAGTGTGCAGGAATGTGCAAACTGTAGGACAAAGTCCTTTTTAAAAAAAAAAATCTATCACTCATCATTTGCTTATAGAAGCAAGGATGAAATTTAGGAGTGCATGGAAACTCATATGCAGTACATATATAAACACACACACACACACATAGTGTTTTTAAAGAAACCCTAAATTGATCAAAATCTGAAACAGATGCTAAATTAATGTTTTTTTAAGTTGTTAATAAAGCTCATAAGTAGCCTACATATAAGACTGCTACATTAAAAGTGTCATTGCTCTGCTCAGGACACATCAAACTGTGTCCATCCAGCCATTTGTTTCTATTTTTTGGCTGCAGGTTCTGGTTCAGTCCGTCATGGTTCAGCAATTTATTTCCACAGTTATTCAGTGTAGATTTCATCCCCATCATTTTTAGGAGTCTATACAAGAGCGTAAATCCTTACAAACCTAACAGAAATGTGTGTAAATACATTCTAAAGACAGATGTATTTTAATACTGTCTTTACATTTTTCAATGGCAATAATGTGAAATCTCTGAGTTGCTACAAAATCTGTGTAAACATCACATAGATTTGTGGTACATCGTCCTCATAGGAATAATGGATTTTTGCTCTGCAAGTACAGCCCTATAAGTTCTTGGCTTCTCTTTATTAGACAATGCAGACAACTTGTAGAAATGCAGTTACATCTCTCCCTGCTGGGGAAGATTTAGAGGGTGTCTAAAATTGACATCCGTCATGGTGGGTACCTTGAAAGGTTGTGTATTTTGAAACACACCATATTTGGATATGAGTAGGGGGCACCCAGATTTGAACTGGGGACCTCTTGATCTGCAGTCAAATGCTCTACCACTGAGCTATACCCCCTACATCCCTGAGGCCCTATAGATAGTCTCACAAACGGCGCATAAATTCAGTTCTTTTATTGGTGACTTGTGCATTTAATTGTGAGACTTACCACAGCCTGCTTGTATGAATTTGACAGAATGCCATGGACTCTAACTTGGCCGTGCCGGACGTCACTCATGTCTACCCACAGGTCCTGTGTTCTCTGGTCCTCAGGGCCGAAGTTGCGCCACGTGTAATACTTGCCAGAATCCTCCTTCCAGACAGAAAAACACACACACACACAGCGGACCAGGTTGTAAAGGCATAACATGTATTCAGGGAGTGTTAGAGAACACCGTTAAATCATATGTTGATGCTTTTCCAAGTGAGTGGAGAGGAGTAAATGTGTCTTTCCAAAAGAGGGCAGTGTTTAACTCCAACTAAAACAAATACATCATCGTAAACACCACAAACCGGCGCAGTCATAAGAAACACTGCGGTGCAGGACTCACCACGACGCGTGTCATGTTGTCTGGGAGGGTGCTGATGCTCAGTCCTCCACCCAGGACGGCCCTGCTGATCCTGCTGTGGCCAGAGGATGACCTGTGGCCTCTGAGAGCATCACCATCGCTTCCAGTTGACTCCTCATGCGGCTGTGAGACGACATTGTACCAGCCATCTGTCCAGAATAATGCACATCAGTTTACACTGCTGTTCTGCTCAGAATGTGATGCAATGAAACAAGCTAGAGTGTCCATAAAAAGACAGTCCACTCCCTTTGGAAGTTCTCCACTTTAACTATTTTTATAAAATTGAGTCATTTTCAATTTAATTTGGCTTTTTTTGACAGAATGTACAAAAATAAGGTTATTTCATGTCAAAGTAAAAACAAGTTTCTCTAAATTCATGTAAATTAATTTAAAATAGAAAACTTATAATAAGTAACTGCATCCGTGCTTAGTAGATGCACCTTTGCATTTATTTTATGTTGAAATATATACAAATCTAAAACAGGTAATTGGATCAGTATTTAGTTGATGTACTGTTGCACTTATTTTATATTTTTAATTAATTGACATTACTTCATAGAAATCTGTTTTCACTTTGACATGAATGAGTCATTTTTTGCTAATTTTTTCCAAAAAAGCCAAATGAAACTGATTCAATGTTGAAAGCAATAAAACAGAAAACATCCAGGCAAGGTGAATACTTTTTATAGGCGTTGTATGATGCATTCCAATTAGAAATTCCAACACTTTCATCCCAAGAATTTCAAAAATAGAAAGCACAACATTTGGGAAACATTTCGGATGTTTACACTTGCGGCTTCGTGCTCTGACAACAAGAAAAATCACAAGAAAAATGAGAAATTGCATTTTGGAAATGCTCAGTCTTAGCCTTGAGAGTTAAAGCCATTGTTGAATGAAGGCAAAAACAATACAAATTGCATTTATTGATGCTCAGAGGAAACTGTCAGGCCATGCAAACAAAGTGAACCATATGTGGTAAGCAAACTGGGGTAGGTAGACCGTGTTTTAAAGTTCGGTGGTGTTCTAATTGACAACTTGTCTTTCTTTCAAGCCACATATTCCTGTTGATGTTAGATGTTTATTTAAGCAGCGTGCTGTCATTTTTTATGGAGTGTGGAAAATGCATGTCTGGTGGTATGTTTATACTGTCAGTGGATGTAGACCTGTGGATGTTTTTGCCCTTGCACAACCTCAGACACTGATCCAGCTGTACATTTGAAGCCACGCAGGGAAAAATACCTTGACTGACCTCCCAAGACTCTTTTCTGTTGATGGTGTGCAAAGATGCTGGTGTTTGAAAGGGTTTTTTTTTCTTTTTCTGTGTGGGAATTGTTAGTCTGAAGACCTAGCGAGTGATGAATAATTAATCTGTTAAATGTTGACTGAAATGAGAAACTAACGAAGCAGCACTTTTTAAAAACAAACCTACATTGCAACTTTATGCAAGATAAAAGGGTCTAAGAATACACAGTGAAGAGATTATTCAGGAAGACTGCAATTTCAGCATGTATGTGGTTGTCACAACACAAATCTGCACCACCCCGTGTTACAAATACAAAAACAAGTGTACATTTAGAGCAGGTTTAAGGTTGGGTTGATTTTTTTCCAAACCTACCTCTGTTTCCACTTAAGCTGGTTTGCCAAAAAACTTTCTGTGCTCATTAGGGACAAAAAACAGTCAAGACTTCATAATGAGAGACAAATGCAAGTGTACATGACTAGAATTAATGATTGTGTCCTTATTTTGGAGGCATTTCAAATGGTACAACCCATCTCATTCGGGTTAGATTCATTCAGACCTCAGTTAAACCTGACTTCTAAAATATTATATTAAAAATACATTCCCCAAAGTAGGAACAAAAAGTTCAACAAAAATCAATACAGCCATCATTAATGACATTCAAATCCTTTTTTCAAATACTTCATATGTCCACATTTATTTTATATGACAGACTTGACTTTCCTCAGTATGGAGGATGTTCTGCCATTTTTCATATACTTCTTTCTATTCTTTTTCTTTCAGCTGCTCTTTGTTAGAAGGGTTGTGTACTCTACTTTTGCCTTTAAAATACCCCAAATGTATTCCATTAGATTCAAGTCAGGTGACATATTTGTCCTGGTCATAATTTGCACTTTTTTCTTCAGTAGAAACTGTTGTGATTTTGTGCTTTGGACAGTTTTCAAGCTGGAATATTCACTTCTTCAAGATTCTACAGACTGGGAGTCTTGTCAGCTAGTGTTTTGGTTTGGTTCAAGCCCCATATCATCACACTCCCACCTCTGTGTGTCACTATCAGGACTATGTATTCAATGTGGTAGCCCTGGACAAGTTCATACTGAACATCTGAGATCTCCTTTCAGCTAAGAATGTGCTCCCAAGAATCATCAGGCTTTCTTTCATGTTCTTTACAATGGTTAAATTTTGTAATTTTGTGCCCAACAGCATGCAAGGGCTTCTTTTCTTGAAGGCTCTCTATAGAAGTTCACATGATACACTGTCTTTTATACTGTCTGAGCTGTCACAGAAACTCTGACTTCCATTCATAACTCCTGTGCCAAGTAGTGCCATATCTGATACCTATATCTGAACTGTCAGTGGAGTCATTTTAGGAGGATGAACACTGCACCTCTGATTCATGGTACTATGACTCGTTCCACACTTCCTGATTGCCGCTGCAACTGGGTTAGAATGCTTTTTACTTGGTCGCTAATCATGTACCCTTTGTGAAGTCTAACAATCAGATTTTTTAGCTGCCCCGGTCATTCTTTTTCATGTGGAGCCATGATGCAGACATATCATTAAGGTACAACTCATTGGTCCAAAACTGAGCAAGTTCACAGCTCATTTTTATAACCCTGTTCATGCAGCTAGGCTGACTGGAAATCACAGGTGCATTCAACTTAGTTTGAGTGATCACAGGAGTATTCACTTTTGTTGCATTAATTTTGGGCCTGTATTTTCAGTATAGTCTTTCTAAAGTATTTGTTTGAATTATTTATAAGAGCAAATACTCTGCTCAACTTTATAAATGGTGGAATTACTCGGAGGTTGTACAATTTTGAATCATTTGACATTTAAGTGATGTTGCACAAACGTGTAGCCATTTCTCTTTTGTGCGTTTCTTTCATTCTATTCAGAATATTACGGTATTCAGTTGCCCATTGCGCCGTTTCTACCCACGTTACGGTACCGCCGCAGCCTATATATACCGGCGACAGCGCGTTTTCTTCGCGGGGTGTCTCTTCTAACCCTAAATACGGGCCGCCTCCTGTACTCATCGTTTGTTGTTTTCTCGTTTCTGGCTTTCAGCAAACTACGGGAGGTTTTGAAGTAGCGCTGGACGCGTCTCGGAACCAAAAAAAAAAAAGCCAGGACTATCACCCTGTCGTGCTCAGTCTCCCGTCAGAAACACCGCGACCGTGGTCAGCCCGGCTGCCGCGAAGAGTTCGTCTCTGTCGCTCCGGTGTCTTCATGGAGGGAGTCTGTTTATCTGAGCATATTAAAACTGAGCAGGGTCACTCTGTCGGACCTCCAGTGGTCCGGTTAGACAGCCTGAGCTCAAACAAACGCTGAACTTTCATGCAGACTTTTCGCTGTAACCGTGTTTACATGTCCGTGCATGCCCTCCAGTCCATGCTAATGCTAGCTATACAAGCTAGCTACCCCGCCCCCAGGAGCTAACACAGGCTGCTCTCCCCTCACACTCTGCTTCACCACTAAACCTGTAGCAGAAAGTGGGTTTAAGCATTAAGATACACAAGTTGCAGAAGCATTGGCATTTAGAAGTTAATGTGGAGTTCAAATATGAGGTGAAATTGCAATTATAGCAGCAGTACAGACCAGATGTGAGTATTTTTGTGTGGGACACTTGCACCACTTCAGGAACACATTAAACATCAAAACACACTTTACTTAACTCTCCTATCTTTGGGGTGAATTTGACCCCATTAACATCCCTAAATAAGTCAAATGTGATTTTTCAGTTTTATTTAAAGGGCTATTTACACATAAACTTGGGTAACAATTTTAATTCTGATATTTTCTGGAGGTTTAAATTGCTGGGAGTCAAACTGAACCCAAGGATAAACGATGTCTGTACATTTGAAGGTAGTAGGAGGGTTAAACATCTTTGTTCACCAAACTACAGCCACCTGTTGAGGCGTTTCCTTCCACACCTGAGTCCTATAAGCTGTGATGACATCTGATAATGTGAGCATCACTACAGAAGTCCACCTTAATGTGCAGCTTTATCCAAATGTCAGGATGCCACAAGAGAAAGAAGAAAATGGGCCGGATACTGGAATTTCAGTTAAGATCTTAGCCTGAATGTCTACAGCTCCACTGTTTGTAATCTAAGAAATTATTTCAGACATCTCTGACTTATCCAACAGTGTATCCTAAAATATCGTTCACCTTCACCAAGCCCTTCAGATAAATCAAACATTTCACAAGCAGTTCAACCTAAATAACCTAAAGCATGCTGCCTTTTTAATAACTGGTGCTACTCTACTTTTCACACTCCATTTGGCCTAAAGTGCACCCTCACCCTTTTACTTTTTAAGCAATCTAGGTTCACTACAAAACTGCAAAAAAACAGTGTAAAAATGGGATGAAGACAAATTCAAAGTTGGATCTTGAGCTTCGCTGAACTTCATAACTTTGACATAATTCGCTGGCTGCATGAGAGCGTAGTGTAACCCAAACAGAGCGTGAAAATTCTGGTATCACAGTGAAAATGAACTCCACCTCAAAACAAACCGGCTTCATAGCACGCGACATGTACTGTGTTGGTCCCAAGCAGATTATGCAAAGACAGCATGCTTAATTCCCACATGTTTCTGATCAGCTCACCGTCCCGTCTTTGAGTATTTTAAACCCATTCGAGCCCAATTAAGGCCCGCAGAGAACGTCCTCGCATGCAGACGCATCTCCCTCTCCTAATTCGAATTACTGAGTAAAATTAACAGACTGGAACCGAATCCTTCCTCTGTGCAGTTTTTGGGGATGTTGAACAGAAAGCAGCTCAGTTCAGTGCATTTTTCTTAATAACAACAAAAAATGGATAAACAACAAGAAAGCCAGTTATAGAAAATTACATCTGACATTTTGAAGTTGGCCACATTTCCATGAACCTCTAAACTGGTTCCT